CACGAAGAAGGTGGATTGGTCATTAATCGAAAAACCTCAGTTTATTTCTTAATCTATGAATAGTGAAACTTTTTTTCACTAGCCCTCCATAGCATAAATTTATTCCTATCCAAGCCAGGAGCTTCCTAGGTCTATTATACTGGATACCCTCTGAGCTCACAAAGTTCTGGATCACCTCACCTAAGACTAGGATCTCCATGGGAAAGGGGAGTGTGACATCAGGTAAGGCAATGAGCTTTCAGAACCTAAGCATATATAGGAGCCACCAAGGGCTGAGGTCACAAGACTTATGGAGAATTCTGCCTCATGTTGTGGATCTTAAGACTTTGATCATTGATGCACATAGGGACGGGCTCCACCTTTCTTAAACTGAAAGAAAGTGTACATTGGGACTGATGATTGACATATCATGGTCACATACTCTGCTGAGTAAACTTGGATCTACTGAGAGATAATGTGTGACATGAGGATGTCCTAAAGAGAAGAAAATTAAGTGAGTGGAGAGCTGCAGTCATTATTCTGAGCTTCCCTTTCAGAACCTAGTATCTGTATATTAACAGACAGTCTCTCATCCACTCTTTTTTCTAGACCTATTCTACCCTGAGAGGCTCATCATCATTTTGTTGATGAGTCCCAGATGCCCACCAAACAAGGCCTGTCCTGAGATGGGTCCATACTAAATGAACTACATTCCTCACCTGTGAAACCAAGCTTCATGTTCTCATGTACTTTGAATTGAGTTTTGATGTACTTATGCTTACTTGCTCATTGGAGTTTCTACTACACCCAAAATAATTTTTTCTCAAAATTGTACTGTGTTTAAATATGCTTACAGAAAGCCACCTGGTTTTAGACATTTTAGAAGTGTGAACCAGCAACTAGTATATCCGCCTGATGTGAGGTTTCCGTATTACTTCATGTGGGTCATTTCCCTGCCAGCAGCAGAGCTCTCGGGACCCACAAAAGAAATGATGAAGATTGTGACCCTTATTGTCCACTCACATGATACCAGTTTCCAGGGAGACACTGTGCTGTGACCACCCAGCAGAATTACAACAGTAACAGTGATATTGTCCTGCATTATATTGGATGAGTTGAAAAAGACGACACTGGGAAATTGAATGCCTCACTTTGCATAGATGAGATGGGCTGGTCCTCCCACAAGTTCCTACTCCACAGGAAAGTCTGTCCAATCTTCTGGGCCTGGCAGCCAAAGACTAATGCTGCCCTGAGACCTCTGACCCGACAATCACAGAGGATGCTGGGGCAGCTGTGTTGTTGGGCTAGTCAATAACTAAGTCTCTGTCATTTTTGCTTGCTAACTCAGGGAAAATTTCCTCCTCAGAACTCTGATGCTATATGATGACTTGGCTATTGATAGCTTCACCAATTTAACAACAGCAATGAAGGCTTCAGCTGCCTTTTCAGTCCTCTTTTGTGTGTAAAATTCAGATAACTCTCTCCTAGAGCTACTACTAAGTCTAGACACAGTTTACCTCATTACCAGACTCAGAAAAGAGATGAACTGACAGAACAGATTTCAATGTAACTTTTTACCATTCCATTATTAAAAGGAACTCAATTTACAGTGACTCCCTTCAGTAATCAAACACCTGTGTCTCCTGGTAAATTAGATAGGAAGAGGATGTTTTAAGGTGTAAGTTTATGCAAAGATATGAAAGCTTAAGATGTGAGGATCCAAGAATGCTTTAGGGTGACTTAAGGCTTATTAATGCAAGTCTGAGAAAGAAAAAGTTTAATGGTGATAAGAAGAAAGTGATGCAGGTGTAGAAGAATGAAACACATTTTAGATTTCTTTCTTTTGCTGTGCTAATGTTTTATTAATATTCCAAAAATATATAGTCTTAACATTAATTGATGGGATTCTGATAAGCTCTTGATCTAGCTCTGTCACAGTACCATTACTGTTACCATAGCCACCATACCAAGCTCGGGATTGTAAATTCCATTTATTTGTTTTCTAAGTATGGTTTTAAAAGGGCTTATCATTGTGCTAAAAGTGCTTATCATTGTGCTACAAACATATGTCTAACCTCTATTCATCCAGTTTTCTGGATAGGAGAAAGACTGTTAATGCTTTGAACAAGAATCATTTTTGGGTCCCTTTGACTCAAAGGAATGAGTATACTGACTTTTCTACAATGTAGATTTCAGTACAGATTATAAACTGTAGGAATGATAATGTTTCTAAAACTTATCTCTTTTTGTAAACTCAAAAAATTCTTGTGAGCTCCAGGGTATCAACTTGGATCCACCACAAACAAGTTGGATGCACTCTCAAATGCACCTCAGAGAAGCACTGTCAATCAACAGCCTCTTTCCCAACCTACTACCTGTTCCTGAGGGGGAACTCCCCAATCTTCCTCCAGTCTTGGGACTCCCCTACCTTAATTAACCAGGCCTAAGAAAAAATTTCCCCACTAAACTTTTTAACTTTACCTTTTGCTCCGCCAGCCTTCTGCCAAGTTATCTCAAAGTCTGCAATCCTGCACAGCTTTAAAGTGGCTAGCCCCAAGTGGCCCAACCTCACAATCTGCTTCACATAGCTCTGCACTTCCCTACCACTGGATGACCCCACAGAAGCTGGACAGCAGTGAAACATCCAGCTATCCCATGACTTGGCCAGCATCCCAGTTTTATCATATCCCCCAAAGATACAACACCTCCAGAAAACAAGAAGCAGTCTGGAGAACATGGAGCCCCTTTCTCACCTCACCAGCTACCCTTTTCTATTTCCTCACCTTTTTATAACAAACAAAAGGAAAGAATGTCAGCATTCAGACATTTACACAGGCCTGCTCTTGGAGACCTAGCAGGACCTTTCAGCAGCAGCAGCAGCCAATATGTGACACTGTAGCTACCACAGGCACCAAGTACAGCACACTCCCCATGTGTATGCACTATATCCACTTATAAAAGGCCAGCCCTTCCTGTCTCTCTCTCTCTCTCTCTCTCTCTCTCTCTCTCTCTCTCTCTCTTTCTTTATGCTCTCCCTAAGAAGCCTCCTTTGCATCTCACCCCCAATAAACCTCCCATGTGAGCTCTGTTGCATGATATGACTTTATGGTGCCCCTTGGCTCCAACACACTAAGGTCACCTTTCACCATTGAACTATCACATAAATATTCATAGATCAGTGTGTCACTCAACTATCATCAGAGAAGCTTATTCTTGCAGTAGATGGGAAGTAACAAAGAGATCCACTACTAGACAATACACAGAATGGGAGAAGCTTTGAAGCATTCAGTCTTAAGTGATTTTTTTAAGTAATGAAAACATGTAGTTGGGTGATTATGAAATAGGATTTGGATCTGGGAGGACATGAGGGAGAAGAATGAACATGATCAAAATACATAACTAAAATTCTCAAAGAACTAATTGAACATTGAAAATAAATCATTGTTATACAATAATGTATATGCCCACATATATGTTATATATATACACACATACACACACACACACACACACACACACACACACACACACACACACACACACATATATATATATATATATATATATATATATATATATGCCTCAATGCTAATAGGTATAATTTCTAAGTTTTTAACAAAAAAATATATAGTGTAAAGCAAACCTCCAAACACAATATCTTTTAATTAATTTTTATTTTATTTTTTGGAGAATTTCATAGGTGAACACTGTGTATGTGTGTTTGCATATATATATATATATATATATATATATATATACATACATACATACATATATAATATCTATCCCTTCCTCTACCCTCCAACTCCTCCAATGCACAACCCACTCCCTTCCAAATTCATGACATCTTTGATAATTATTATTGTCACATACGTGATGCATTTTCTTGAAAATGTCATAATGAAAGCCATCATTTTATATTCCACATGTACGTTCACTTCTGAGGTAACATGTGGGAACAAATCAATGAACATCAGTGATACTGACCTTTATGAAAATTGTCAGTGGGCAAAGATACTGGGTGGCATTGCTGAACTCTGGTTTGAGCTGGAGGCTAAAGATTTTGTGGCTTGAGTGTACTTGGACTTTTACTTGAAAGAGTTGAGTGCATTTATCTTCTGTAGTGTTATATTATGTACCCCAATAAAGCTTGCCTGAGGATCAGAGGACGGAGCCAATGTGGCTCTCTCCTTCTCTAAACCCAAGCAAAGGCATGAGATCACAAGTGCTGGGATTAAAGGTGTGTGCTACCACTGCCTGGCTCTGTTTCTCTCCTAGACTGAGTCAATCTCATGTAATCCAGGGTGAATTTGAACTCACTGAGATCCAGATGGATCTCTGCCTCCAAAGTGCTAGGATTAAAGTTGTGTGCCACCACTGTCTTGCCTCTGTGTTTAATCTAGTGGCTTGTTCTGTTCTCTGATCTTCAGACAAGGTTTGTTTGATACACAATATATCACTACAATCTTCTCTGCACAGGGACATAAACTTGACATTTTTACTGAGCTCCATGTACCACAGAGATCTCTGTGATGTAGCTGGGTAGACAGACCTTTGAGGACATGAATTAAGAGTTAAAATGATTTTTTCCTCAATGGGAAAATCTAAGGTCATCTCTAAATTCATGCCTACCAGCCGGGGTCTGACCAATGCAGTATAAAATCAGAGATCCATGATACTACCTCTACCTCTATTATGAGCTTTACATGTCATCAGTGCATCATTGTAATTAAGTTACTAATTTTCATTCTAGAGTCTTATTTCTGCTGACTTTCATCATAATTGAGCAAAACACTTTGTTCTCAGAAGAAAATAATACGAAATTCATATTGTAGATGGGAAAATAGTGATTTAAAATAATAAAAAAGGTTACATGAAAGTAAGCCAAAGCATAATATGCATAAAAATGGGGACTCAACTATGGTTGATGGTGTAGAATGTTCTCACAGATCATTAGGTGAGCGGGGAAGGGGGAATTGGTCAGCAAAACTTCACAGCCAAATGTAAGGGGATAACTTTAATTTATGGGGAAATACCTCTCCACCCCAACAAACAGACTTTTCCCTTAAACCCAATTCCCACTGACCCCTGTTATTTTTCTGACAGCAGTTCCTTGACATGAGCACTGTTTTTCTTACAAAAATGACCCTCATTCCTCATATCTATTTTCCAGTCCATGGCACTGCAAAAGATGCATTGCTGTATCTCCCATTCACATCTGCTTGTGACAAGCATCAAACACCAATATTCCAAGGACCACAAGGACCAAGCCTGCCATCCCCATTCTGAGCAGATTCTCCACTGTGTGATGATCCTGCGTCTCTGAGGCTGTGGTTGTGGACAAAGAAGGCAGGGTGGTGAAAATCACCTGAGAAAGACCAGATACCAAAACCCTTTTACATGCTCTGTGAGTGAGAATATTCCTACTCACCTGTCTTTGGTTTGGACATGTTTTGTGATGTGGTGATGTTCCCAGCAGATCCTAGGAACAGAAGAGAAGGTACACAGTTCATAAAGTACGTAAGAGAGTGAGTGTCTTCTCCAAGTTCAACAATCATATTTCCTGTAATTGCATATGAGGATAATCATATAACTTCAGAGAGATCCAGTATAATCCTTTCCCCTAGTGTGCCTGATTCCTTCTGGCCTTCTTATTGGATTCGTCACATACACCAAGCTGATTGAGTTCATGCTTTGGGCTAAAACAGTTGAGCATGAAGTTTACATCAATGTAGAGAACTAAGGATTGGTGAAGAAAATCATCTCCCATTTCCAGTTCAGAATCAATAAAGCCCTTCTATACTTTCTGCCCAGTCTGGGACATAGGCACATGGAAGCCAATTCATGAATGAGTAAATGTGTATGAGGTCCATACTGAGTCTTTTTATTCGGTACCTCTTACACTCTTAGCCAGGAAATGTGAAAATGACTCTCATCACTCTCAGGTATTTTAGCTGCTGGTCACCCAGCAGGAAGGCATGTTGCTGAGGACTAAACCCAAATAATCCAGCTTTTATCCCTTTTCCCTATTCTGAAATTACACTGCATGTCCTAGAATGAAGGAGCCTGAATGCCCTGCCCTGACCCAGTCACATTCACCTACATGATGTCACCATTGCAGTGTGGCATGTGTCAAGACAATTGCAGAAGGGGTTTCTAGAGAATTCCCCTGTATTTTAAAGACAGAGACAAGGTCTGAACTAAAAGCAACTTAACATCAGGCCAGGGCTCTCCTGTTTACCCTTATAGAAACTGGGAATCACACAGGAGAGGGGCTTGTCTATGTGAATCTCTCAGAAAAGACTGCATCTACTCGATACCTAGCTTAAGTCCCTGGACCAGTACTGCAACAGAGTTCTAGTTAAGACTCCTATGGTCAGAGTCCATATGGTGATGTACTGGTTTTCGGAGCATGATGTATGTGATAATCATGGGAAGTAACTTCCTGCTCTCATTTATATGGTTCTCCTAGGACCGATCTCAAATAGGACTATTTGTCAGAATGAATCTATTATATCTGAGCCTATGAGACTCTTTGGTTCTGGGGACCATATTTTGATCACTGCTTGAATTCCAGTGTCCTGGTCAAAATCCAGGCTGATACAGAAATGAAGACTTCCAGGGACTGAGAGATTTCATACTCTGGGATGGAACAAACTCCCTAGAGAGGAAAGTCTAACACTTCTATTGGCATGATATTTGGGACCCCAAGAAACCGTTGTTAACAGGACAATGAGAGATGATAAGTAGAAGACTTTTCTAACTATTTCAGGTCTTCTCAGTCTTAAGTCGACATGGAAGCCTCTCCAGAACCTTCCAGCTGACTACCTGGAACATTCTGAATTACCTTGAATATGGTGGAATGTTTGCCTCTGTATCATTAACTAGTGAAACATTTCTAATTAACCCTCCCTAGGAGAAACTTACTTACATCCCAGTCAAGAGCTCCCAAGCTCAGGTGTCCAGTGTTACCCTCTCATCTCACACATATCATGGCCATCTCACCTGAGACAATGATCTCCATGGGGACACTGGGGTGTGACAACAGGTAAGGGGATGATCTTTGAGAACCATAGCACATATAGGTGCCCCCGAGGGATGGGGTCACGGCACTCATGGAGAATTCTGCCTGATATTCTGAATCTTGGAGCTTTGATATTTGATTCATGTGGGAATGCAATTCACCCTCCTTGAACAGAAGGAAACTGTCCACTGGGATTGATGATTTACACAACAGGGTCACTTTCTCTCCTGCGGACACGGTGGTGCCTGGATGCACTGAGAGGTTGGGTCTGACAAAGTGTTGTCCTAGAGAGAAGAAGGGTGAGTGAGGGGCTACAGTCGTTGTTCTGAGACCCTTTTTCATTACATTGTCTTCTATATTTTCCCTGAATGCTATTCATTTACTCCCCTTTCCACAGATCTGTTCATCCTGAGATGACCTTCATTAAATTGACCATCAATCACTGGCCTCCCCAAAGCTGAGCCTGTTCAGAGTCCAAGTCCCTGAGAGACTACACTATGTTCCTCACCTATGATCAGGATGTCCAGAGGGTCACTGGGGGCTGACCACTCAGAAGAGATGCTGTATGAACCATGGCATCTATACCGGCCACCAGTGGTGAAATTCACAGAGTGTAAGGTAAAGTTTGCATGAGACTCTCCAGCCTGGGTAAAATGAGCAGACATCTGTGGGACATCACTTCCGCCCTCCTTGGAAAGAGCAAATCTGTCATAACTCATGTTTGAGTAACACTGGAGGGTCAGTCTCTCTCCAGGTGCCAGGAGAGGTCCTTGGGAGGATATCAGGGAGGGCTTTCTGGATGACCCTGGAAGAAGGATATGTATAAAGGCAACAGGTCAACTCTTGCTATACATTCCTGTGCTGACTAAGTTTAAGTCAGCTGGACACAAGCTAGAGTCACTGGAGAAGAGAGAACATCAACTAAGAAAAAGACTCAATAAGATTTTGCAGCACACATTCCTGTATGCAATTTTGTTAATTAGAAATTCACAAGAGAGGGCCCATCCCATTGTGTATGGTACCACCCCTGGGCATGTAGTCCTGGGTTCTATATGAAAGCAGGCTGAGCAAGGCAGTAAGCAGCACCCCTCCAGGGCTTCTGCATCAGTTCCTGCCTCCAAGTTCCTGCCCTGTTAGAGTTGCTCTCCTAACTTCCTATGAAAATAAAGAGTACAGTAAAAGTGTAAGCCAAATAAAATCTTTCTCCACAATTGGCTGTTTGTCATGGTATGTCATTTCAATAATACAATCCTAACTAGGACAATAACCTCTGCTTCCTTGCTCTGACAGTGTCAGGGTCTCTCATAATCTGGGTCATAGCAGTCGAGATCTGCCTTCAGCCATCATGGCTGTAACCATCCTTGGGGCAGCAGAGCTAGTGATAAAGGGTTCTTGTGTCAAAAACCAGTTGAGTGAATAAGTCTTCTCACCTGAGACATATATCTCCAGAGGGTTACTGGCCTCTGACCAGATATGTGATTTACTTCTGAAGTATCCATAACATCTAAAGGGCCCATTCTTGATGGATGTCACAGGGATCTCAGGAAACAGAGCCTGGGACTGTCTAGTGTCTATGTACTGTGCCTTGAGGGACCTGGAGAAATTCTGATCTTCCCCAGTCACAATGAACCAATTGTATCTTTTTGATGAGACACATTGGAGGGTTACATTCCCACTTGAGGTCAACACAGGGCTGGGCAAGGCTGACAGAGTAGGTTTATCATGGTAGAAACCTAGGAGACGATGATGTGGCCTGTTAAATGATACATTGTCTCCAACAGCTGGGCTATGGGTGAACACATTTGGGAGATATATTTCCTGAGGGAAAATGTAGAGGACATGATGTACTTGATCTCACAAATAACGTGGTAGAAATCAGGAATGTTATTCATGCAGTGTTTCTGAACAATTGATGGAATAAATACCTGTTTTCTATCAAGAGACCTGTGAGTAGATGTTAATAGCCAGGGGACCATCAATATGTAGCTCTAAACCTCACCTGAATAGCCCAGAATGTTTATCCTAGACTCTGTCTCCCTAGACTTTATCATTAGCTCTCAGTTAATGAACCTCATTCTTAGGGAAGATGTCACATACACTTTATAGCCTGCTGACATCTATGTTATCTTGGTCAGAGACCACATCAGATTACAGGCCCGTTAGCTATAGAACGCATCTTCATGATCACTTCGGAGTTGAGTTTTGATGCAATAAGACTTAGTTGTTCACTGGATTTTCTATTACACCAGGAATCTTTTTGTCCAAATTTGTACTGTGTTCAAATTTGCTACAATCAACCACCTGGTGTCATACTTTTTAGAAGTGTGAACCAGTAACAACTAAGTCAGTGTGATCTAAATTTTCTTTGTTGCCAATTGCATGTGGGTCATATTCTGCCAGCAGCAGAGCTTTCAGGGACCAACACACAGAAAATGTGAGGACTGTGACTCTTAGTGTCCACTCACCTGTCACCACCAGCTCCAGGGTGTCACTCTGCTGTGTCCACCCAGCAGAGTTATAACAGTAACAGTAATATCGTCCTGCATTATACTCTGTCATGGATGGGATGATAAATTTGGCCTTGTGATCAGGTACTGGTACAGTCAATCTGCCCCAGGGTGCTTGACTTCCTTCTTTATACAGGAAATATATTTGAGTTTCCTTAGTTCCCTCACACCAGACTGTCACAGGATTCCCTGAGGTGATCACAGAGCCTGGCTCAGCCCGGATGCTGGGTTTCTGGAGCATCCCTGAAAAGGGGAAAGTGAGAGGGATGTGGGACTTTAAACAGTTGTACAGTGAATGTGAAACTCAGACGTGACCCTTGAATAACAGAAGGACACATGGAACCATCTGGAGACCCTTCTCTCTCTCTCTCACCTCACTCTCCCAAGTTCCCTTCTCAGAACACCCCTCAGTGGTTTCTGTATCCTGACTCCCATAATTTGTATGCTGGCCCATATGTGGGCTGGGGAACCTGTCCTTCCCTGTACTGATCACACATTAGGGTCTCTTGGGGAAACATGTTTCAGGTTCAGTGTCTTTCAATAGAGAGGATGGGACTTAGTCACCTGAGACTAGAAGCTCCAGGATGTCACTCCCTGCTGACCACACTTGAGGCTTGCTTGCGTGATAACCATAGCATCTGAAACTCCATCTTTCTCTGGGAGTGATGGGACCCACTTGGAATCTGGCTGAAGACTGGCCATCATATACATATTGTGAGTCCATGGAGCTGTAGAACTGCTCATCCTTAATTAAAACAAACCCATCATATCTCTGATTTGAGGTACATGAAAGGGTTACAGATCCTCCTAAGGCTACAACAGGGATTGGCAGTGCAGACAGGGTGGGTTTGTTGTAGATACCTAGGAGAGATACATATGGAATATTAAATGAGTTCACACAGTCTGGACTGTCCCCCAAAACTGAGTAAGGAGTGGGGATACATTCACAGAAGACTTTTCCAAAGACTCACATCTGGGAATTCATATGATTCCTGAATATCTACTCACCTGTCACCACCAGCTCCAGGGTGTCACTCTGCTGTGTCCACCCAGCAGAATTGTAACAGTAACAACTATATCGTCCTGCATTATACTCTGTCATGGATAGGATGGAAAACTTAGCCTTGTGATCAGGCACTGGTGCAGTCAATCTGCCCCAGGGTGCTGAACTTCCTTCTTTATACAGGAAATATATTTGAGTTTCCATCGTCCCCTCACACCAGATTGTCACAGGATTCCCTGAGGTGATCACAGAGCCTGGCTCAGCCCAGATGTGGGGTTTCTGGAGTGTCCCTGAAAAGAGGTAAGTAAGAAGGATGTGGGACTTTAAACAGTTGTACAGTGAGTGTGAAACTCAGACGTGACCCTGGAATAACAGAAGGACACATGGAACCTTCTGGAGATCCATATCATTGCTGACCCTCCCATATTCTGTTATCACAACACCTCTCATTGGTTTCTGTATCTTGACTCCCAGAGTCTGCATCTGTATCTGTGGGCTAATCCACCTGTCCTTCCCTGTGCTCACCACCACAGGGACACATAGAGCTCTCCGAAGACCTGACACACTCCTCACCCTCCCAAGTTCCCTTTTTAGAACACCCCTCAGTACTTTCTGTATCTTGACTCCCATAGTCTGCATGCTGTATAAATGGACTCAGGAACCATTCTTTCCCTGCACTTATCACAAACTAGGGTCTCCTGGGGAAACCTGTTTCAGGTTCAGTGTCTTTCAATAGAGAGCCTGGGGCTTACTCACCCGAGACTAGAAGGTCCAGGATGTCACTCCCTTCTGACAGTACATGGGGCTCTCCTGAGTAGTAGCCATAGCATCTGAAACTCCATCTTTCTCTGAATGTGATGGGACCCACTTGGAATCTGGCTGGAGACTGACCACTATATACATATTTTGAGGGCATGGAGCTGTAGAACTGCTCATCCTTAATTAAAATAAACCTGTCGTATCTCTGTTTTGAGGTACATGAAAGGGTCACAGATCCTCCTAAGGTTACAACAGGGATTTGCAGTGCAGACAGGATGGGTTTGTAGTAGACACCTAGGAGAGATACATATGGAATATTAAATGAGTTCACACAGTCTGGATTGTCCCTCAGAACTGAGTAATCAGTGGGGAGACATTCAGAGCAGATTTTCTAAAGAGTCACATCTGGGAATTCATATGATTCCTCAGTAACTACTCATGTGTCACCAACAGCTCCAGGGAGGCACTGTGCTGAGTTGTTGGTCCTCGTATAACAGAAGGACACATGGAACCATCTGAACATCCATCTCTCTGCTGAACCTGTCAGGCTCCCTTCTCAGAACATCCCTCAGTGCTTTCTGTATATAGACTCCCTAATCTGCATGCTGTATATGTAGGCTTAGGAACCTGTCCTTCCCTGTACTTATCACACATTAGGGTCTCCTGGGGAAAACTGTTTCAAGTTCAATGTCATTCAATAGGGAGCCTGGGGCTTCATCACCTGAGACGAGAAGCTCCAGGATGTCACTCCCTTCTGACCACACTTGACGCTTGCTTGTGTGATAACCATAGCATCTGAAACTCCACCTTTCTCTGAGTGTGATGGGACCCACTTCAAATCTGGCTGGAGACAGCCCATCATATACATATTGTGAGTCCATGGAGCTCGAGAACTGCTTGTCCTTAATTAAAATGAACCTGTTGTATCCCTCATGTGAGATACATAAGAGGGTCACATATCCTCCTAAGGCTACAGCAGGGTTTGGCAGTGCAAACAGGGTTGGTTTGATATAGAAACCTAGGAGAGATACATATGGAATATTAAGTGGGTTCACACAGTCTGGACTGTCCCCTAGACCTGAGTAATGAGTGGGGATACATTCAGAGAACGCTTTTCCAAAGGGTCACATCTGGGGATTCATATGATTCCTGAGTATCCACTCACCTGTCACCACGAGCTCCAGGGTGTCACTGTGTTCTGATGTGCCAGCACGGCTTTTAAAATAACACTGATATTGGCCTGCATCATTACTTTTAATGGATGAGATAAAGATCTTGTCCTTTTTTTCAGTGTCTTCATGAGCTGTTGGTACCTGGGAATGTGGCTTACCTTCTTTATAGAAATGGTATTCTTGGGCATCTAAGGGGCCTTCACAAAGTAGAGTTACCTGCTTCCCAATGGTTACCACATCACTTGGCACAGCTCTGAGTGTGGGTTTTGAGAGGCCCCCTAAAAACAAAACAAAACAAAAGCAAAACAAAAAACAAAACAAAGCAAAGCAAACAAACAAAATAACAACAAAAAATGGGAGCTAGGACAGAGGACATCCTGCTTAATTGCAAGATCTCAATCTCAGGAACTTCTACGCAACACCACTAACAGCCCACACCAGCTGTTCTCCATCTCTTTTCTTCAGAGGTGACCTTTGATCCCCACTGAGAACGTACACTTTAGAAAACCTGGGAAGACACTCACCTGCCAGCACTTGGTTCCTGGGGCCAGGAGTCAGTCCTGCAAGAGAGTTACCTGTGAGTGTATGTACTTGAAGCCTGATCAGGACCTCCACTTCCAGATCCCTTCTGAGCTACTGAGACACCCTGATGGATTACTGCTCAACTGTGAGGTAGACCACTTCTTAGAACAGAATTCTCTCTCCACAACTTCATTTCTCACCAAGACAAAGCAGAACTGTGAGGGTGGGTATCATAGCATCTTCCAATTGCCAAAAGTTTGCAGATGGTTCGTCCTCTTGCCAAAAGAACAGACACAAAGTATATTGCCTGTGCAGTATGGTGTCTCCTTCTCATAAGTATGTTATACAGGCAGTCCTTGCAAAAACAGGAACTGCTCTTTCTAAGCAAGTGCCTTTTGTTTTCCCACTGCAGTGAAGGGTGGGGCTGCAAAACTTGTGGTCTCCGTTCCTGAGGCTTTCCTTGGTTTTGGTTTTGGTTTCTGACAGGAAGTCTCCTGAAACCCTGGCAGGTCTAAATCTCCTCCCCTTTCTCAGTCAGCTTCCTGTGAGATAGGTTTAGAAACCCATATCTGATTTTGGTATCTTCTTGCAGAGCATCTCCCATATGCCATCTACATTTGCTTGGATGGTCCTCTTCACCAAAGACCAGGACTTAACAAGAAATAATCCTGGCATCTTTCTGAACCAACACCTTCAGGTAAGGGTGCTCAGAGCTGATCTTTTCCTGTCAGACTTTCTGCTTGGTTCTCTATCATTTCAGCCAGATGACACTCAAAATGCTGTAGGTTCTTTTATCCTGGCCAGCTTCCTACCCAGCCCTAGATATGCTTTGAGTAATTTGTGGGAAATTTTCTTGGGGATACATGAATATTGAATGGCTATTTCCCAAGAAGGTACATCAATGACAGAGACAAAGACATGATTTTATCCAAATCCAGTGGGTGAAACAATGAGTAGTATAAGTGTTCCTAAGAGGGATATGAGCAAACATTTTCAAATTTGTTTTTTTTTTTGAGACAGGGTCTTACTGTTTACCTCTAGATGTTCTTGAATGCACTCTGTAGAAATGATGGACCTTGGACTCATGAAACCTGAAGGAAGGTTCATTTCCCACAAGCTAACCCGGTTTGACAATGGTGGGTTAGCATCTAGCCTTGATCTGCCTTATGTGATTCTTCCCCCTGTCTCCATACCTTCTGTTTAAAGTTTTATCTGAGAGTTTTTCTATGGATCAAAGCCTATGAAAACTTAGTAACAAGAACAACAGCAAAAAAAACTATGGTAAGAATGAGAATTTGCATTTGGCATTATCCCTCTTGGGGGCGTAGAACAAAGACTTTGGTATATGGAATTGGCTTATTAAAGATGTGATTTGTAAAACAATAAAGGATCCGTTACTTACCAGTGGTTGTACAGTCCATAGAAGTGAATCCACCCTACAGCTAGAAGAGGATAAAAATTCATCCTTGATGTGCCTCTGTACAACTTTTCACATATCTGGCTGAAATTATACCCATACTCAATATACAAGATATTAATGCACAATGTGGAGCTTAAAGAAGGACAAAGGATTCCATACATCTCTGAGGACTGAAGGAAATCACCCTCAGGGTAAGGGGACTCCAGGATTAGCAAGAGTTCATGGGAAACTTCTTTCTCAGGAGCAACAGAATTGCAATTATTAAAATGTCAGTTAATACTCCCCTGGGGATTCAGCTCAACCTGGTAGATTCAGTCCAGGCAGGTCCAGTCCCCTCCTCCCAGGCAGAGAAAAGTAGCCCTGCATAAGCCCCAGGTTCCAAAGAGCCAGCTCATGCACTGGGGAAAGGGGGGAGGGGGAGGACAGGGGAATATGTGGCTGATATGTAAAATTAAATTAAACTATAAAATAAATAAATAAATAAATGTCACTCAATAGGAAATGGAGGGAAAGTGAAGGAAAAACAGCTTATGTAGCTTTTGGTATTAATTAAACAGCATGGTCATTAATTTCAGGCAACTCCTCATGTTCAAATATAACTGAAGATATGGAAGCAAGTGTTGAGAACTTTGAGGAGAGCTCATCAGAAAGAAGAATCAATACCAAGCTATAGTAGAGCTTGAAGTCAGGGATGGTGATGCCTCCAGAAGTTCCTTTACTGTACATGATTGTTTGAGCTATCCTTGGTTTTTTTCTTTTTCCAAATGAAGTTGAGTATTGTTCTTTTGAGGTCCACTTCCTAAATATAACACCAGTAGCACAGACACTGAGAGGAACAATTAATAAATGGAAGCTCCTGAAACTGAGAAGATTCTGTAAGGGAAAGGACATGATAAATATGACGAAACAACAGCCTACAGAATGGGAAAAGATTTAAACCTACCTCACATCTGACTAGGGGCTGACATCCAAATACATAAAAAACTCACAAAACTAGACATCAAAATACCAAACAATCCACTTAAAAAATGGGCTACAGATCTAGACAGAGAATTCTCATCAAAAGAATCCCAAATGACTGAAAGACATTTAATGAATTGTTCAACATTCTCATTCATCAAGGAAATGAAAATAGAAGGACTCTGAAATACTATCATACATATGTTCGTATGGCTAAGATCGAAAACACTGAATACAGCTTATGTTGGAGAGTATGTGGAGCAAGGGGAACACTCCTACACTACTAGTGGGAGTGTAAATTTGTACAGCTACTTTGGAAATCAGGATGGTGAGTTCTCAGATGACTAGACTCCTACTCACAACTTCAGGGA